AGATGAGTTGGTGGAGAACAGTAGTATAGTACTGTATTGCTGTGTGCAGCGGCTGATTTCAGTGAGTGTTCTCATGTGTCATCTGCTATCATCTTAATTATCAAGCCTGCTGACAGCAAGGAAGATGCAGATATGAACTATCGATTGGCTTAGCAGGCAAAGACAGAAAAACTATAGCTTTTTTTAAAATCAAATTTTGAGGATAGATCAGAAGTTCACATACTAACTTTGGGGACAAGAGAGCTGGCATTTCAGACCTTTCCCTGCTACGTAACTCCCACAAACTGATGTGACAGTCAAGACCCCCTTTTTCAGATCTTTGCCATCCAGTCAATCGGCAGCCTTGGGTGAGGCATCTAAATTCCTCCTGCTATGGGTTGTGGGAACTGGTGTGCAGTAACATTGTTGGTTCTTCAAGCGTGCAGCCTGTGGAAAAGGCGCATGGCCCTGCCAGCCTGGGCTGTTCATTGCTGTTCTGGGGGCTTCGCTTGACTTCCTTGACCATCGCACTGCCTTGACTGTGTAACTGTAGGGTCCTGCTGTAACCAGGCGGGGACTCTAGTCACTGACAATGTGGGTGACGCATTTAGCTCCTTCCTCTGCCTAAAGAAGCCCAGAAGACCCATCCCAGAGGGATGGTCTAACTAGCACGATGTCTGCTCTTCTGAGATGGAGCTATATTCATTCCCCTGCTTGCAGCTGTGCAGTGTTACCACTGTAATTCAATATACATTGGTCCAGAGGGAGTGAATGAGAGAAAACACCTTTATAAAAACCAATTATTAGGGCAATCATGCAGGAGGGGGGAGCTGGCCTGTGCTTCACATGAAACATGTAAATATTTCTTGGAGGCCAAATTGGGTTGCTGGGTAAAAGGGGTAATGTTACTGCCTTCTTCTGCCAGGTTTGAATGAGGCCCAGGTGCTTGGAGTGTCCCTACTAGATAATGGTCCTTTTCTGAGTGTGATGGGTAAGAATGCTTGATGGATGCTCTGAGCTGGAAACAAGCATTCAAAGCTCAATTCTGTTACCATTTAAGCTGTGCATGGATTTGGCCATTGAAACATCTAGGGCATTTCAGGCCCCTTGAGAGCAGAGGTGATGCCACCCCTAGGCAGCTGGCAGCAGGAGCTGTGGACTGCGCTGTGCTGCACGTCCTAAGAGAAGGACACAGGAATTTCCATCCCAAGAATTGTAGTCCTTCTGTTGCCATCGTCTGATCCCAGGCTAACACAGCATGGCTGCCTGTGCAGCGTGGCCAGATGGCATTCAATTGCTGCAACTCAGCACAGCATGGCCAGATGGCATTCAGTTGCTGCAACTCAAGGCAGCAAGGCCTTCAGGTCGCTATGGTGCCTGTGTCACACACTTGTGCAGGGTGCTGGCTTCACAGTTTACGTTCAAAGGTGCCTGTGTGTGCCTGAGCAATGCAGTGTGGTCTCGCACAACCCCATTGCATGGTTCTCTCCATCTCCCTCTATCCCCCTTCCCCGCTTTCTTCCTCCTGCCCTCCCTTGCAGGATTGTTTCTGAACCTTTCCTGCCTTCCTATGACTTCTTTCCCTTTCCTTTACCCTGTGCCAGCTTTCCCTGCCACCATATACACACTGTGATGCTCCTACAGCTGTTTGCTTCCCACTGTATCCTTGGGACTGATCTTCTCCATGCTGCTGAGACCCTCAGGCCAGCCGCCTCCACCTTTGAAAGAAAAGCCACTTTCTGCTTCCACAGCTCACTTCAAGACGTTACCCATTCTACTCCCCTGGCAGGATTAAAAATCTGGGACAACTGCGGCATAGAGTGCCCCATTTCTAGGGTGGAAGAGTGGCTGTAGTCAGATTTTTTACCAGCAGCAGTCTGAAAAAGTCCAGTTGGGCATTAGGTTAACTAGCTGGCACTGGAGACAACTTCTATTGAGGCAGGTTTGTTTTCAAAAACTTCTGCTCTGAGTGACAGTTACAACCAAGGGGCCTTCAAATCTCACCCTGCTGTGACTGTCATCCCATGCCCTGGGACTATGCTCTGCCTCGCTTCAGTTTGAACACAATATTCTCTGGTTACTCAAAGCCGTAGATTTTTAAATCCTGTCTTATGAGGTAGCAGGTTTAAGTGATTGCTATTTAATGGCTGCAATGTCCTTTGTTTCAGGAAGCTGAGACCACCTCCAAGTCTTCCAAAGAGAAAAAGAAAGTAAAGAAACCAGCCTGCAGCCCTGGAGGAGTGTTTGTGAGACTGCGCTGAGGAATGACCCTCCGATGAGGGGCAGGCAGACTGAGGAGATAAATGGCAATATTCTAGACAATGCAAAGTGTTTGCATAGCCCAGCTCCACAGACGAGTTGTGGTTCTCTGCATTTCATATGTTTTTTTAGTTCTCTAGTTCTCTGGGATAGAAAATATTTTTACATCACAGCAGCATCATTTTTTATTAAAAAAAAAGGGCAGAAAGAATTCTCTTCCTGTCCAGGTAGTAGTTTAGCAACAGCTTTGCATATTATAAGGTGACATTTCAGGAGTTAACTGCAGCAATGTCATAGACCCTCCTCGGACTGAGAAAAGTATCCCCATCTACTAGTCTAGTTTGTACTACAGCCTTAGGAGGAAAAAGAAAAAAAAGCACCTTACCTCCTAAAATAATCAGACAGGACCTTCAATGTGGAACCAGAATACAGTGTGTGGGAGCAGTACTTCTCAGCTGCAGACAGGAGCCAGGCCCCTTGATTTTCATCAAGTCATTCCTAAATAAGCCAGGAAGCTACTGCAGCGGTGGGCCTCTGAGTCTAACTCAAGGCTGAAGAGTTCACTAGGTTATGGGGCACGTTGTGGTTAGAGTCGGCAATCCTGACCTCCCCTCCATGCCTAAAAAACATTTCATGACTTCACATAAAAAGATTTTTCTCTCATCTCTGTGCTATTGTGAAATTCTTTTCCCTTTGGAATCCTCATCATGCATATTTTGAGAGTTTTGATTTCAGTAAGAAATCCTTGCACTGTAAGGTTAATTTTCTAGTGCTTGAATACTGATCTGCCCTCTCCTTAGTTACCAAAAGAAACTTAATCTCCAAGAATTTCAAAGGTACTGAAAAAAAATCAGTTTGTTTTTGCGTGCACAGACTGAGGGAGAGGCACGCTGAGTAACAGCATAAGCCTTGTATCAGCGCTAAAGAGGAGAAATCCAGTCTCTAGAGCCCACTTCAGCGTAGGGGGTGATGGTGGTGACAAGCTGCAGTAGATGAGCTATTTCCTACCTCACTGTTGGTGCTAAACTCTTGTGTAGGAACAGTGCAAAACATCAACCCAAGTCATTCTGCATTCAAAAGAGGGCAATGAAGCTGGTGAAGGGTCTAGAGCACAAGTCCTGTGAGGAGCGGCTGAGGGAACTGGGACTGTTTAGCCTGGCAAAAAGGAGGCTGAGGGGAGACCTCATCGCGCTCTACAACTCCCTGAAAGGAGGTTGTAGCGAGGTGGGTGTCAGTCTCTTCTCCCAAGTAACACAATAGGAGAAGAGGAAATGGCCTCAAGTTGCACCAGGGGAGGTTTAGATTGGGTATTAGGAAAAATGTCTTCCCCGACAGGGTTGTGAAGCCTTGGAACAGGCTGCCCAGGGAAGTGGTTGAGTCACCATCCCTGGAGGTATTTAAAAGACGTGTAGATGTGGTGCTTAGGGACATAGTTTAGTTGTGGACTTGGCAGCCTTAGGTAAACAGTTGCACTCAATGATTCTATGATTCAGAGAACCTCAGAAATTGTTACAGCTTACATGAAGATGGATTTGTACATGCAACAGGTACAACAGACAAGTGGCTGCCAGCACCCATGCCTATTTGACAACACATAGGCAACAGAAAAAGCAGCCTCAACTCCCAGCATAATAGCACCATGCCTGTTTGCAGTCTGGTAATCTATATTCAAGTCTCTCAGTCAGATAGCAAATATAAGAAATTAATTTTATTTTCTTAAATGAAGATGATAAATAATTTAATGCACAGAATATAAGAATTAGCAGGATACCAGCAAGTTCAACTGTAAACAGAATAAAACTGCAGTTAAAAAAATCACCACTCAAGTACTAAGCACTCTTTAGCCCATAAAGGGCCTACTCTTACTTAAAAGTTTAATCCAGGAAGATTTTTTTAAAATACCATTTTATTAAAAGAATCAAACCAAGCATATACATTTGTACTCAACAAGGTGCAACTGCTTCAGTTTTGGAAGGCATCCACCTGCTATGTCGCACCTCTGCAACAAGAGTTGTGAAGTCCTTGCAGAAGGTAGAGTGGTCATCACCAGAAGTTAGGGGAGTCAGTGTGTCCCACAGGATTACAGAACAGTCCGGAGGAGTGTGGAGATGGGCGGAGGATGACCACCATCACACTGGCACCACTGAGATGCCGAGTATTTCCATGTAACAGGCCAGATCCTATGCCCAGAAAATACATGAGGGTTTACTGGAAATACTGTGCACTACCTGGAGGAGTTAAGAGCACTTATCTGCCCCACGGCTGTACACAGTTGCTGAGAGTGGAGGCTTCCCCCTTGGAAAGACACAGAGGTTCTCCCTTTCATCTCTGGGGTTATGAAAATTGCAAGAGATGCTAAAAAAAAAAAAAAAAAAATCTATGGAGATATTTTAGTTCTACATGAGATTTTAAATTTATGTAAACCAGTTTTCAAGAAAAACAAGGATTCTTTGGTAAAGGCCTTGGAGTGTGTGTTTATATATAAATAAAAAAAACCAAAGGGCCAGGCTTCAATCCGTCAGAAAAGAGAGGAACAGACTGAAGGCAAAAATCCAGATCCTATATTTAAGATTAATTTACTTGGATCAGAATAGCTCTGTTGGAATCTGGCATTAGTACTGGGAATACTAACTTGGGAATAGTATTCCCATTTCAAGGGCATATGAAATGTTTAATATTTCCATTTTGAGAGGAGCTGAGAGTGAGAATGTTCCTTTGAGAATATTCCAGAAGAAAACAAAATTAATTCTAAAACACATTAGGAAACACTTCCTGATATAACGTAAGAAGTCCTTTGAAATAAATACAGTATTCAATAGGAGACAATGAAATATTACTATTTGCCTACTTCCCCCCCCAATTATTTTGATCTTTAGTGTTACATATTCAGAAAACATTTTTAGTGTACAGTAAGAATACCAAAACAAAAAGGTACCAAGGTTATCTACAGCGCAAACATGATCATCTAACTGATGTTGCCTGGGTGGCCTTTTCTCTGTCTGTATTTCATGCAGTCATTCCATTTAGATCTATTTCCAGAACCTGTAAAATCCCAGGGCTATTGCTAAGCAAGTGAATACTGAAGCTGTTAAAAAGAAGAAACAAGGAAGGAAATAATTAGCTAAATGCTAAATTGTATCACCTTCTACATACAGGAAATTAACTGCAAACAGACAGAAGGATGTTAAGAACTGTAGAGCAGAGCCTCCTAAACTTCCTGAATTTGCTGCAGGTGTGATAGAATAATTTTAGAAGACAATGCCTTGTCTTAGATGAAATACCCTGCACAGTAGCACTGCCCAGGTGGTGAGATGGGAGGTCAAACTAAGCAGCCCGAGGAACTATGTTTTCAGGAACACATCTGAGTAACTACAACAGGCTACAGTAACTTTTATTATTGTCACCCATCTATTGGAAATTGTATTACAGGAGAGATGGCTGTATCAGGTCTTGCATTAGACGCAATTAAAATGATTTCCCATTGAACAAAATGACAATGAACAATACATGGATCTGACACTAGGATATCTAGGCAGCACCTCTGAAGCCTGATGAGTTGTCTTTCAGATTTGTTAAACTGCTGTTTCAGTTAGTGTTAGAATAAAGCTAATTGTGTTTCCCTTTGAACTTGTTCTCACTTCCAAATGTAACATGTTACTCTCTTTTTATCCAGCTCCAATACAATAAAAATTTCACTGGTTATGTATGTATTGAGAAGACAATCTCAAATCAGACTGAAATTTGTTCTGCTTGGCAGGGGAAAGTACCAGTTCTGCCACACTGAAACCAGGTGTCTGTGGAGGACTGAATGGGAGGCAGAACCGGTCACTCTCAGACTAGTCCTGAATATCAGCAAACTTTCAGGGTAACTTCAATAGCTCAGGAGAACTGTTGGAGCAACCCTGCCACATAAATGGCTGCCCTGCAGCAAGCAGAGGTACTGTCAGACTAGACAAGGTATTTAGACTTCTCTCCTACTCTTTAAAAAAAAAAAAAATCATGTCCATGTTCCTCCTAATCCCTGTTCTGGGGCAATCTAGTCCAACTGCAGCAGAGTCTGCATGTTCCCACCTCTTCTGTGTTCCCCGTCACATTTCTTTCAACTGGGGAGGGTCCTGCCCCCCACAACCCCAGTTATCTGCAGTTACACAACTGACTTCTTGAATTCACTTTGCATATATTCTTGAATAAAATTTTATATGGCCAAAATACAATACTGGTACTCACCTCCTTGCCTATCACATACCTGCCAAATAACGTATTGTATCAAGTTTATTTGATTCCATGAGCGTTTTTAAGGAAGCTATTTCAGTGTCAATTTTATTACTGATTTCTGAGATAACACTGTTGGTACTTGAATCCTGAAACGTTAAAAGATAGCATATATTTGACAGTGATCTCTAGCCCTTTCAGCTTCGCAAAGCCAAACAAGAATACCATGCTACCAGCAATAAGAAAGAGAAGCAAATTTCCAACCTATCGGTGAAGTAAAATTACATAAAACACGTAACAGACCTTAGAAGACACAGAACAGCATTTAATACAATCCAGGAAGAGTATTAAAGAGGGAGATAGAAAAAAAGAAAACTCCGATCATACAGATTTTTGTCCCTGTATGCCAGTGCTTCCTAAAGGAGGCATTCTACAGAGCATAAATACTATCCCTAAATTTTTGCAAAACAAAGGTTTAAGCATTCACAAGCCATATCCAGAAAAGGGAGGAGATGCTGAAGATGGGACATGTCCATCTTCAGCCTCTTATTCTTCAGCGCCCGCTAGCAGCTTTGAGGACTTCTAGCCCTTGAAATACTTGCTTGGCTATAGGAATCCGAGCCATCCCTCTGGCACAGCTGATCAGCGCATCTGTTAATATGGGGAAGGGCAGTACGACACTGCACATCCCACCTGTAACAGCCCGCATGTAAGATAGTCGGGAGGCGAGAGACAAGGCTTGTGTGCCTCCTTCTGCCTGAACGCTGCTTACTGCAAATCCCAGACCTAGGCAATGAACACACCTTTTGCTCTACCACATTCAAAAATGTATTAACTTTCACGAAAGTTAGGGGTTTACGTAACCTGTAACGCATAACTATATCCTGCTCAAGATGAAATGAGCTTTGTTCAATCTACTTACTTTTTTATGAAACTCTGTAGTTGCTTCCATCAGTTTCCTCTCCTGATCTGTAAACTGTGGATAAAAGATAAATTACGATGGTAGTAAGGGAAACAAGACACAAAACTGATAAAGGTATCTTCATTGACCAGCTTACCATATCTGTCACTCTGCTCCTTTCCAGGTTTATGTCTAGCTTGCTGTCAGCTCGGATTTTACCGGTTTCATTCTTTAAAGCAAATAAAGGTTATGAAAATAACTATTTACTTTCCCTAACAGGAGTGTGGAGGTACTTGCTGTTTACTTACCATTAGCTGCTGTTTAACTTGATCTAATTCAATTTTCATTTTCTAAGTGCAGAGGAGAAAAAGAACGATTTTAGAAATTCAGAAAACTGCTGACCAAGTTAATCAGTCATGTAAGTGTTACCACCGCATGCACGCAACTGTTGTTCCATAATTTCTCTCCCAATGGGGCAATTTGTTCTTGATTAAATATCCTAACTGGTGTGTTCAATTTGTATAACCATATATAATCTGCTGAGAATTTTGTTCAAAATAAAGGGATTATTTTGTAATGACGACGATCTTGTTATTCTGAGACTAAAGACAGCAGAAAAATACCAAAATGCTGTCAAGCAAAAACAAAATGTGTCTCAATCACCAGTTTAATTAAATTGCTGCAAAGAAATGGCCGACTACTCTCCCTGCATTGTACGGTTAACGATGACAAGACTCCACCAGAATCACCCTTAAATAAAAATAAAGATGACGATTCTAAGATGTGTAGGGTTTTTTTTCCTTTACAGAAGAATTGAGCAAGTCTTATGACATGAAATATATTTTTATTTGATCACAGAAGTTGTAATCTACAAACATTTCAACTCTGATAAAAATATCCATAATTACTTTTATATTCATATTTTGTTCCACAAAAATGTACAACAGGTATAACGCAACATATATTACAATTTAACTGCTTAACTAAAAATATTAGTACCTCATTCTCTGCTCTCAAGTTTGCAAATTCACTTTTCTCCAGGATGACCATATCTTTTCGAATGGAGTCCAAATGTGCCATTATCTGCTGTAAAGTTATTTCCTTAGAAACAATAAAACATGTCATTGATTAAGTTGCACACTTTCTGGCAAGTAGAGGAAAGTAAAGATGTTTACATCTGAAATTATGAAATTAGCTACTGCAAAGCACAAAAATGGGGAGACTCTCCAACAAGAAAGTGACAGAAACACAGAATTTTATAGCTGCAATCTATTTGAAAGACTCAGGAGGTTTTGGTTTGTGCTTTTTCTGTTGCTTTAATACACTAACTCTGGATTTAAGCAAAAAAGCCAGAGGTATTAGTCCAAGTAGCTATGAAATGAAATAGACCCAAAACTACAGGTTAGTCCTTTGTTCACTTCCATTTTCAATGAACGTTCAGTAGCCCATGAAGCATTAATTGTTGGTTTGAATTCAGTTCCTAAGCAAACACTTCCATTTCTTGCCCACAAAGTCATCAAAGGCCAAAGACTTAACGATATGAGTATCACACCGTCCTCTCAGCGTTAGGTGTGAGGCACACTAGTAAAACATCGCTGGAAAGCAATGAAAAAAGCCTTCCTGGTGTTTGGACTAACAAGTTCAGAATTCAACTGCTATTTACAAGCTACAGAGTGAAAAAAAGAAAAGAAAATAAAGGAAGAAACTTTGTATTTTAGAATCTTGAAAGCAATACTCCTTTAGTTAGCATAAGGAAGTTACCCTACTATTTAGCACAGAAAATTACGTATCTCTGTGCGATTCTGCTTTTAAAGCTGAAAGCCAGCAAAATGAAGAGCTCTCATTCAGACTACAAGCAAACAGTATTTCTCAGATCCTACGCTGAACTAAATTTGTTAAAATATGCCCTGACCCAATTTCCACTGAAGTCTGACTACTTCATTGAACACAATGAAGTTTTTACAATTCCTGGGAAAACTTCAGTTGCATTTACACCGAGCAGCTAATTTGCCTCATCCTATCTTAAAACGTTCAGTCTCAACGCTGACTACACTGTAAGAACCAGTGTTTTTGCCTAACACAATTCCATGCAAATTATATTCGGGATACTGACTTTCTTTACATATAACAGGATCTCCAAAAAGAACGCTTCCCATTTTGATGAAAAAAATAGAGATACAAAAGTTCTTACTGTCTTCTGAGATTTATAGGAAAAAGTTAGGTAACTTCTATTAAGAATAAATGCCAGTAAGATAAAAATCCGTTGGAAGTAAGGCTCAGCAGTTTAAATAAAACATCAATGAATGCGTAATTGCATTAACTCCTTGAAGAAGAATGGCACGTAATTTCAGCTTGCACAGCCTTCCTGAGTAATTATGAAAGCCATTACTGTGCATCAGAGCTTTATATCCTGGCCCAGATGTCTAGCCTGCAAGAAAAACTAAAATTCTTTTTCTTTTGGCAATTTGTTAAAATGAAACTTGTCACCACCTCTATTATCAACAGAAAAACCAGCCATGCTGCTTAACTGATTCACTGCCTCCAGGTACGTCCACAAATGTGAACTTGGGTATCTAAGCGAAGGAGACACCTCGATGCTTTGCTGGAGTGCAGGCTGAGGTGTTGACCTGACCAGTGCAAACAGCTAGGTTTGTGCCAACAACTAAATAATTCAGAGCCCACTTCTGTCCCCGAGGGCACGTGACACACCACAGATTACGTCCAGATGGCTAAAATCTCTTCCTCCTAAACCAGATTGGCTCTGTCCACCCCACCTGGTGGGAACAGTTCCTGGCCCTACACTTTCACATAAATTGTGCCCAGGCCAGGGAAACGGAGAGCTGGTACAGGTCAAAATCAAACCAAGGCACCGCAGTGGCTCTGGACAGCCCTGCGGTGGTGTTTGTGCCCACACCCTAGCCACGTTTAGCTTTTACTATAGATGTAGCTTTAGAGACTGAAATGCAGAATAAAATCATGAAATAGTTTTAATAGTAGTTTTTAGTTTATGAATAGGAAAATAGGACAAATACCATGTATCTCAGAACAGAGTCAACATCTTTAGTAAAGTTCAGTAAAAACACTGACAATTTTCTGATACTTTAGGTGGTCTTTTTACTTCTCAGGAACCCCTCCTTGAATCTCTCTTCTGCCCTCAACCGTTGTAAAGTACAGTTAGAAGTTTGGTTTCAGCACAGAGATTTGCAGTAGCAAATGAAGCAATCTCTGCATTACATTTATATATTGTGGCTGCATTTGGAAAACACTCCTGTGAGATAAAAGGTGTAAAATACTGCTATTCTTAATACCACCTTGAAACTTATGAAAACCTATCTTAGTGAAGCGTTCATAGTACTACAGAGTTGCTCACTTGTCTTTTAAATATGCAAATATGAGCCATTATAGCTACACAATGCTGTATATGTACACCATAGATTACTTTTTACCTGCTGAGCCTGTGTAACCATATCCTTATAGACTGTATCTAAGCTGACATTCGACAGGGTTATTAATGCCGATACGATGGTCTCCGCTTGCTCCTTCCCAAAGCCTAGAAGACAGTTGAAGGATGACAAGTTCAGGTAATATCAGAAAGCTGGATGAAGAGAAGAGCAAGAGGTACATAACAAACTGGGACATTTGAGTGCTGTACTTAACTATAGTGGCAAATGGGAAGTCACACAGTTACTGAAAACTGACAGCGAGGAGCCAGTCACCATGACTTTTAACTAGAAAAACCACAGACTTAATGCTGCAAAAACCTGAAGCACATTAACGTTCAATATACTGAAATAGTCTATGCATGCAGCTGACAGGAGGACCAAATTTCTGTACAATGTTTAACTGTTCATGCATTATAAAAATAATACAGCAAAATTTTACTTTATAATGAACTTTCACAAATTTTGTTAAAACCAAACTTATCTTGAGCTACAAAGCATGCATCCTATAGAATAATAAAATTAAAAAGTCTGCATATATTGAAATTGTTCTGCACAGATATGAACGCACGCAAAACTGATTTTAAAACCGCTGCATCTATTACCTGCAGAATGAATTCAAACTGGGATTTTTGCCTTCTGATGATAAAAATCACACTTTGTCCATAGCCTGGTATAATTCTGAAGTGTTAAAGATGATGTGTGGTGAACAGTGAAAAAAACCCACAGCTGTCATTTTTGCTGTATCTGATCTAGTGCTGAGAGCTTTGGCCCTAAGGATTTATTTCGAGCAGTCTCACTGGTGTGTTGTGTTTCAATTGACCCGTTTTATAAAGTGGGATCAATTAACTTTTTGTTGAAAAATGCTTTCAGGGCAAATTACATAGAGAAATATGCCACTGCTCTCTTCTAAAATACCGGTACTGTCAAACTGCACCATTGGTTTACATTACTAAAAAAGCTATGCATGCTTTATGACAGTTTCCTTCCACTAAGAGGCGTGATAGTATTGCTTCAGTTCCTCTGAATTTTCAGGGTTACTTAGGTTTTTGCCAATTCATTATTTTGTTCTTCCTCTATAGCAGGAACTGTCCTTGTTGCATGGAAGTTTAGAAAATGTGGAGATATTCATATAAGCAAGAGAATGGAGCCTGAAAACTGCCTGCAGTAAGTTTGAGAAAAACTAAATGCCTCTCTCAGTTCTCTATAGGTTTTACCTATAGAGCCCTATCACTGTAGTACTGAAACATTTGTAGAAGTTATGGAACAAATTAAACTGAGTAACAACACAGTGTACCAGCACCGACAGACTTCACCCCACCAGTTCTAAAGGAACTCAAAGAAGAAATAGCTGCATTAGTACTGGGGACAAGTAACATCTCACAGCCTACCTCAGTTACCTGAGGACGGAAAAATGGCAAATACAATGCCAGTTTTTAAAAACAGTTCCAGAAGAGACATAGGGAACTACAGGCTGACAAGTCTGACATGCATGAAAAAAATGAACATTGTTAGTGGATTATTAGGAGTCTTCTAACTGCTAATATGTATTATCATTAGACCCAAATAGTGGAAAAAATCCTAACCTCAGATTGCATAAAGTTCCTACTGTCACTTAGGATAAAGATCTTGGGATTTTAAAAGATACTTGCTAGTCTGATGAAGATATCAGTTCAATGCTTAGTAGGGATCAATAAAGCAAACCAAACCCTTAGGAAAACCCTAAGAAAAGAAGCAGAGAACAAAATAGATGCAACATTATGTCACTACTCAAATCCACAGGATATTCAGTTGTCAAATAGTGCCAGCAGCTCTGTTGTTCCCCTTTGAAACAGGATGCGATAGACGTGGAAAAGATTCACAAAAGGGCATCATGAATGATCAAAAGTATGGAAAAGCTACTGCTGAAGGAAAAATTCAATATGCTAGGACTCTTCTATTTGGAGAAGAATGATGTGGGAATATGACAGAAGTTTACATAATCATGAATGACACAAGATCAAATGTTCATTCCCTCTTCCCACAAAAGAGCTGAGCGGGCATGAAATTAACCTCATAGAAGCCAGGTTCTGCATAAACAAAAGGAGTGGACATCTGAAACTCCAGGAGAGAGGATGTTTTGGGTACTTATCAGTTTATAGCGGTTATTGTGAAAAGAATTCCACTGATGGTTACTAAAACTCACACCTAACCCAAAATACCTCCAGGTGAAAACAGCTGGAGGCTTAAAAACTACAAGAGGATGTGTCACATACATCTGCTCCATTTTAACACTCTTCTGCAGGCACTGACTCACAGCTGCTGCCAGAAGACCAACCCAGGGCTAGAGGGACCTTTCATCTGACTTGAGAGATACACTCACAAAATAGAATTGCAGGTATTAAGAATGTATCACAGCTCTACGCTGCTGCAAATATTTCTAGTTAGAAAAAAACCTTAAGTTACTATTAGCAGGCTAGTAGAAGGAACTTCTATTAAAGCTTCATTTTTGCTAGAAAACAGTTCTTAACTGTTATTGTTACTTTACATTTGTTAACTGTATTATGTTCCTCATCTGGAAGAGAGTATATAAACTTGCCTACAGCTACAAATAAGGTAAATCTAATGTAATAGTTATTTGTATGGTTACAGAGGCATCAAACAGTGTCAGATGCCTCTCCTCAAGATGCTGCCAAAAAAGTATTGGTACTTCAGGAAAATTGATAACACTCAAAGTTTAAGTACTAAAACTAAAAGTTTTCCTTTGAATTATTTATCAGGTATCACTTACCATGGGCTTCCAGATCCTGCACTAAAGCATGGGTATCAAAGGTTACCTTCCTCTGCTCCAGGGGAGTGATTTCAACTCTTCTGACATCATATGAGCTCCTAATGAGTGTGGCAGCAAAACCTGGAAGTGACAGCATGTGCTTTAAACTTAACCTGACTGGTTTATCATGCAATACACTAATTTTAGTTCCTTTCGTCATAGAAAGCTGCATGAAAGTTGCAACAAAAAGCTGGGTCCTTTTGATAGCTTGGTTACAACACACATCAGAAGCCATCAATCCCTTTTCCATAGGAAAGCTATACTAACTAGGACTCATATTGATCTTAATTGCATTTGTGTAACTAGGAAGCTGTGCAACAGACAAGCATCCTGATACACCAAAAATAAAACACCACAACCAATTGTTTTGTAATATTTGACAAACATCACTTAAATAATTTTCCTACTTTTAAAACATCAGCAGTTCTAACACACCGCCAATTTCTGCTGGTTACAGCTAACATCATTCATTTGGTTCTTCACAGAATCCCTCAATGACATTTTTTTTTTTTTTTTAAAAACACTTTCTTCTATCACTATCCTTTCCAGCAAGGAGAGTGCTATGTGTAAAGATAAAGCTACAGATTGTTTTTTAGAAAGTTATGCAAATTTAACGTTCAGAATGAATTTGTTGGTTCACCAGGAAAGTAATTGGGAAACAAAGTGATACAATGTTTGTACCTAATACCTAGAGATAGGTATTAGTTAAAGATTCACCCTATTTATTACGTGAATGCCTTCCCACAAGATGTTTCACTGCTTCTCCTGATTTATTTCAAGCACATTTTTCCCTGCATCTTATCTTTGTGGGGCTGTGCATGTTACAGATTACGTTCTGATAGATTCTTTGTTATCTGAAAAGCGCCGTTACTTCTAAATCCGTGCTTATTCAAAACCTTTCTCACTGCTGGCTCTCTGCCTTAACCAAAATGTTGTTCTGTATCTTATCTGGACCTTTACTCAAAAGCTCTACATCGTTTAAACAACAGGGAAGTTATAATGTGCCACTGCTAGATAAATCGTTACAGGCTACCTTGTATCTACTCTAAAGAAGTGACTATAACTAAGCCAGCTGTAGTATCCAAACCGAAGTCTGTATAAGACTTAACACTAAAGAGACAACGGAAAGATTTGTGTTTAAGTGCATGAACACTGAATACTACATACAAATAATTTAAAATTACTCTAAAATTTACTGTGGAATAAAACGTTCTTTTTTCACTGAGACATAACAGTTTTTAAACACACAGCAATTTGTCCTCTAAATGCATTAGTGGATTTTTTTCATTGGATTGAACATACATATTGTAGAGACATTCTCAGAAAAGTTAATATTACAGCATGAAGCTTTTGGTTGCCTAGACATGCTGCTCTTTCTCCTATCACTTCACCCCGTATTGACTCGATGCACGGCTCTCAGTCCAAAGCTGTCTTGATGTTTTCACAGACCGGACGTGAGACACCATTTTGTGATGCCTTTCTGCACCCCTTGGCTAACTCCCATTGCTCCTCCCGTCTCAAACACTCTCTGTCCGTCCCCACAAGCTACTCAATCGGCTGCTCTTGCCTATGTAACGCACCCCTCGCTTTGTTACAGCCCCGAAGGACGGCATTCCGCGCTCCCTTACACACCGCCCGAGGGACAGGCCCCCACCATGGCCCTCAGGCAACCAGCCCAGCCCGCCAGACGCCCCGTGCAGCCTCCAATGCAACTCAGCAGACC